AAGTCTGGTGATGTAAAAACCCAGTATAGTCAGAATTCGTTCCCCTCTTTCCAATACTGTATGCTGTTTGCTCGATTTGCAAAAACTTGTGAGTACCTTTAGGCTGTTCCTCAGGAGGCAAATAACAGCTGTAATGAAGGCAGTGCTGTTTTTGGGAATAAGGGGAGGGAATTAACATCCCTTCCCCTAGGGCTGAAATCCAATTGGAATTATTGATTATGCTCTAACAGTGTCTTTTTACAAAGATTTAAAGAAACAGGAGATATGATTGCAAAACACTTTAACATTTTGTCTAGTTCTGCTTTATTGCTGCTGTTGCAACATTAGCTGGATTCTGGTGCAGAAGGGAGTTCTGGTCACATGTGCTTCTCTCCATCCTGCTACCCCATAATTGGAGCAGAGATAAGCCACACAGACAGACTTAAGCAAGAGAAGCCACCGAGAGTCTTGGCAGGAAGAAAGGCAGAAATAAGCAGGGGCCACAGACAGGGATACAGACCTGGAAGGATGCAAGAAGATGAGCATTGGATGGAAAGAGAGAGAGCAAAGTACCCAGAATAAACTTTTAGAAAGTGTTTTTTTAAAAAATAATTGGGTCATAGCTCTGACAATCTTGTATCCATCATGGACTTGAAGGGCGACAGGAGGTGTCTTGGAGTTATAGCCCAAAACAGTAACTTTTCATCCTTTTCATAAACTGCCATCTTTTCAGCCTTTCTCCAACTCACCCACACTTACATGAGCTAGGGCTCAAGTTTGCAGTTTGTTAGGCCAGAAGGCCAAGGAACAAGAGATAAATAAAATAAACACAACTAAACAGAAAAACCTGGTCCAGGTTAACCTTCTGGCAACCATTTAGGTATTTTGAAAACCTTCTTAGCCAGCCAGCAGTCATTGGTTAACCACACTAGTAAGCCCTGTTTCTTTGTGGCACGGCTTAAACTTGCTCATCAGGCCAGCCTAAATATTCTTGTTGTTTGAGTTTTCTTTCCCACTGACCAAAGGCCATCAGAACCTTTTTTCCACACTTCTGCTATCAATTAAATAGAAGGGAAAAGTGGTGGGCGATGAGGAACAGAGTGGCCATTGTGGGTCCTTTTGCACTAGGAAGGGCCTGCCTCTGAAGGTAGTCCATTCATTTGTTTGGATGGTGATAAAAGAGTCACAGGGCACAGGTTCTTAACCTTTGGCCCTCCAGATGGCTTGAACTCCAGCTCTCCAAAGAGGCAGGCAACATAGGCAGTGGTGAGAAAACTGGGAGCTAAAGTGCAAACCATACGGAGGGTGCAAAAGATTTAGAACTATTGATGCAAAGGGTAGCCATCAAGTCCAAACAAAGTAAAATCCAAATGCAAAAATAGCCAATACCTTTATAGACCACTAAAAAAAACAAATCATCATACTATCCATCAGCTTTTGTGGATTAAAACACTACTTCATCAGATTGTACTAGCGTGAAGAACTTAAAGTTCAAAACATGAAGTCCCAAAGTCTGAGTTTAGACAGCTGTGGATTGAGTGAACTGGGTTACACTCGATCCACAGCTGCCTAAGATGTTGCCATAAAACAGCAACCAGACTTCTGACTTACATCTTAGAGAGAGATGCCTGACAAAATCCATCTTGCCAAGAATTGCTGAACTTAACATCTAAGAGCAGGTTTCCTGGCAAAAATCTATCATGCCATGTACTTTGGGACTTTAAGCTTTGGACTTCTAAGTTCTTCACACTGGTACAAACCTGATGAAGTGATGTTTTCATCCATGAAAGTATGTGTATTGTATGATGATTTTTAGTGGCCTATAAAGATATCATCTATTTTTGCATTTGGTTGAGAACTAGTCACTGCATTTAGGGGATCCTCTATATCAGTAACTAGTCTTCTTGGACTGCAACTCCCAGAAACCCTGGCCAGTAGAGCGGGTGGTGAAGGCCTCTGGGAATTGCAGTCCAAGAAGACCTGGGTTAACCAGGGTTGGGAGCCACTAATCTGTGTCTTCATGAGTCCACTGCCTTCATAGCCTTGCAATAGCTTTTCCTCCTTCTTTAATTTTTGCTGTTTGATAAGATTTCTGTATTTAAAAGCTTGGGGATCTGCATCCATTTCCATTCCTTGGTAACTATTGTCATTTCCATTCTTGTAATAATTAATTTGAGCCAGGTTTGCTCAAAGAGATCATAGCAGAAATAGGAGTTAAGGGCAGAAAAGGAAAGGATGTGCAATGCTGGTTGCTGCTGGACTGCCATTCCCATTATCCCCAGCCAGCATAGCAGGTGATGGGAACTGAAGCCCCCCAGCATCCAGAGGGCAGTACATTCTCCACCCATGGTCTGAAGGCTCCTTTTTACATTATGCTTATAACTCCCAGCTGCTGTGATGCTACTGTTTCTTGCACTGAGAAACTCTTGGTGATCTAGCAGTAGCCCATGCTATGGCCCCTTTTCAGTCCCACCTCACCCAGTTTCTGGGAGGTGTAAAGGTGACATGAAAATCAGCCACTAGTATTTGTTTTCATGATATCTTAAGCTTCCCTGCCAACCAGACTAATGAAAAAGGATGTATCCCTGGGAGTAACTGGCTATGTAGAAGTCGGTTCTATATGTCTCTTCCCC